AATATCCTCTTCTGAGAAGTGTCTGTTCATGTCCTTCGCCCATTTATTAATTGGGTTTTTTTTTTTTAGGTGTTTAGCTTTTTGAGTTCTTTATATACCCTAGAGATTAGTGCTGATGTGTGAAGGATAAAAATTTGCTCCCAAAATTCATCTCACAGATTGTTTCTTTTGCTGAGAAGAAACTTTTTAGTTTGAGTCCATCCCATTAGGACACTTTTAGATATTTCTTAGTTTGAGTTTGTATATCATTTTATCTTATTGTGGCACTGTAACAAAGACTTTTCACTTTTGCCTACAAATGTCCAATGGGTGGCTAAGAGCAGGATTTAAGACTTGGCATCCCCATCTCCCTTTTGAATCCGTCTTCTTTGTTCCCAATCACCTTGGATTCCAAGAATGAGGTCTGATCTGATAAACATCTTGCAATGAGTTGAAGCTACCCTCCAGGCTATAGTAACTTTCTCATCTGAGAAAAGAACTCACCTGACCAATCCCAAGAAAATGGTGAACAGACTACACTTTATCAAGATCACCTCATTTGCCAACTGTGAAAAGCTTCCAACTATGCAAAATCCCCTTCTCATCCTAGCCCTCATCTCCCTTTATGTAAAAACTCAGAAGTCATCGTTCATGTCTCAGATATGGGACCAAGGACAAGCCTTCCTTTGTCTTCCTGGGTAGTCCCTTTCATGCCCTTTACCTTTTATGTTTGTTTTTTGGGGCCCATGGTCAGACTTGATATCTTGGATCCCTGGAGTCAGGCCTCTGGCCTGAGACTCTGGCAATGCTACTGGGGATTGAATCCAGCTCAAGCATTTTACCACTGAGTCATATCCTCTCAGTTCTGCTTATTTTTTTTTAATGACAAAATTCAGTTTTTAAAGAAAAGATAAGTGATTTTACTTCCTTCTCTATACATCATGACTGAATAAGCTTGACATCAAGGTGTCCCACAATTGGTGATGATAATTTTGATTAATTAAAATGGTTTCTATCAGATTTCTCTATTACCATGTTTCTTATTTTCCTATGTAGAGATACTTTGTGGTTTTGAAAATATCTTTTTCTTCATTAAACATTGACTTAATGCTTTTATAGCATCTACATATGGTTTTTGCTTGTAGTGGTTGAAAATGGTGGTTTTGCTGTTTATCATTCCTTCTACATTCATTAGTTGGTATTCTACTGGAAGAAAGTGCTTTCCCACTTTATTTATTTATTGATTAGTATGAACTCAGATGTTCTTGTAGTCCATCGTTGCTATTACTTTTATAGTTAATTTTGATCTCCAAATTTTTTCAGATGTGGTTAGAACTACTTCAAACTCACATCTATGTTCTTTCGTCAAGCTTCCATAATTTTAAAAATATTTCCTTTCTAGCTAACCACAATGACCCAGGCTCATCTTGAGCTTCTTTGCTATAGTTCTGGAATCATTTTCCCAGGAAAGTCTTGTTTCATGTAGTGGATAAACATATTTAGAAATAGGTATCAATAAATGCTTTGTATTTTTACTTATGTTTGTATATTTGTTCTGATTTTAGAATTACATTTTAAGTTCTTAAATGTCTGTCATGGAATTTAGTGTAACAACTGTCTTTTACATTCTGTATTAGAATTTTAGAACTCAGAGTGGCCTTAGATATTCCTTGTCTACTGTTAACCTATTAAAGATGAGGAAATTCAGGATCAGGATAGTTAAATGGCTTTTCTAAGACTGCAAAAGGGAGATTTGATTTTGGAGTATGACCATGTTGGCTCCCAGTTCAGTTCACTCTCACATGGTACACATATTCAGTAAGGAGGTATGCTAGTTAACAAAAGTAAAATTAGCAAGTTTGGTAAATTAAAAATGGTAATTTTTATATTTATTTATTTATTTATTGGGAGTACCAGGGATTGAATTCAGGGGAACTTGACCACTGAGCCACATCCCCAGCCCTATTTTTTTAAAAAAATTTTATTTAGAGACAGGATCTCACTGAGTTGCTTAGTGTCTCACTTTTGCTAAGGTTGGCTTTGAACACACCTGTCTCAGCCTCCCTAGCCACTGGGAGTGCATGCATGCACTACCATGCCTGACTAAAGATGATAATTTTTAATGCCACTTTCACTGAGAGGTGATTTCTGTCTCCAAAAACCTGACCTTTGCTAATTAAAGTTTTGACCTTGAAGACTATTGTATTACCCATTTTATCCCATGGAATCCAAGAGTATATTTTGGGACTAAACTAAAAATTAGATTCTGGCTAAGTAAACCCTTTGCTGCGAAAAGAACAGGGAAAAAGAAAGGCTGAAACAAAGTGGTTTCAGTTAATATTTCAAAACATTATTTCATTACAAACAAATAAAAGATATAAAGCAAGGTCTGGTTTCAACACTAAAAACAGCAACAAACAAACACCCCTACAAGTTATTAAAGAATTTGTCTCAGCAGATCATGACGACTTATCACTATTTCCTGAGTAATAAAGGTACATGATCCTGGAAGATGTGACCAACTCAAGTTAGTCTTCTAATGTTGATGTCTCTGTTTTGGAAAGAGGAGGCTTTGGTAGCTTGTGTTTATGTTACATTAAAGAATATCCATAATATAATTTCTTGTTTTTCTCCAAGTTTCCATGAGATATTGATCTTTCTAAGAGTGTTATGAATACCTGTACTTTGGAATAATGTAACATTGGAATTGACTAGGGATTAAAATGTGTCATCATAGGCCTATCTTAACCACTAAATTATGCTTTTTAAGGGCAGGATCCTTTTGCATCCTCTCCCCAACCCCACCTGGATATCAAACCCAGAGTCTTGTGCATGTAAAGCAAGTGCTGTACCAAGGAGCTACACCCCCCAGGCCTGCATCCTATTCACTTCCCAAATCCATAGCCTCTAGTTTAGTGCCTGCTGTAAAAGTTGCTTATAAATGTTTTATGAATGAATTTCAAGACTTTTGTTTGGTCTTGTAGAATGTTATACAGAATAGAAAGGTGGGGGAGGGGGGAGGAAGAAATGTGTTACATGTTTGTATGTATTTAAGAGAACTGGAGTCTGCTTCTTTCAGGTTGACGATTATCAGAGAAAAGGGCCCCACTGGATGCTTAGATCTTGCTGTAGTAAGAAGACAAAAGTAAAGTTCATAAGCTCTGCCAGATGAAGAATTTTTTTTCCTTCCAATTATCCACAGTTGAGTTTCACCAGGGTTGCCCTTGTGAATCAAAAGAAAGCCAATGTACCTATCTATTATTGATTTTAAAAAGTTCCACATCTAAGCTAGTACTATTTCAGGTATTTTTTTTTAAACTTCTTATAATAGTGCACTTAATATCTCATTTTGATTCAATATTTTCAAAAGACAGTTGGGTTCACAGTTACAATTTTTCTACTTAATTCTTCTTTAGAATGTGTACACGCATGTGGTTTTATCAGCCATCTTAAAAAAAAACACTTATCTACACATATCATTTCTCTAACGGCATCCCTGAACACCTCAAGTTATATTCATGATGGTTGCTAAAAGTGACACATGGCTGCACTTCTTTGAGGTATAGAATTACACTCAGTTGCCTTCATGCAGTGCAATCCAAAATAATTACTGTCAATGTCTAACTTCTACCTTTTAAGGCCCAGAGGGTAGCAGAGAATTCATAAGGGAAATAAATTAAATGTGTAACCTTGTTCAAAGCCTTTTTTTCCTCTCTTCTTTCTAAACCGCTAGTATAAAAACTTCACTAAACAACTATTACTTATGTATAAAAAAACGCTATGGCATTTTATCTCAAACTTGCTCCTAAAAATATTTTGAGATTGAAATGTGTTTGAAGACAACATCTAAAGTTTCCTCAGTGATTCAGAATTATTTGACATTATTTCCTTCCTCACACGCACATATTTGGGATACATTTGCCTACATGATTGAATATAAAAATTGAATTTTGAAATACATGGTCATGAAGTATAATAAGACATTTTTCTTCACCATATGACTATGAAAAGTAGATGATTTGATGATTCTTATATTGATTGCTCATTTTTCAGTATATTTGCCATATGGTAAAAACTACAGAGGTTATATCTGCTGCTAATATTTGAAACTTATTATTTTTTAAAATGGGATTAAAAAAAACTCAAGTTAATCTTGACACTCTGATGATATTGTATGTTCTGAAAATATGCGGAATTTTCTGATTAGAAATATTGAAAACCTTAACTTTTGAATATCTTGAGTGCAAATTTCTCAATTATTTCTGAGTAGCAACTTTCAAAAGATTTTATTTAAATTAAAGTTTATTTTGAATAGCAGGAAACATTACTTCTCTAAATGGGAATTTTTGTAATTATCAGTGTGTTCTGAATATTAACATTGGAGAATTTATTTAAACTTTTAAAATTTAGATTTATGCTAGGCCATAACTTAATATGAAGTTTCTCCTTATGAGAGAAGCAGGATGTGAGATAGAAAATTAAAAACTGCATAAATTAAATCATACTGGTAGTGAAATTACCCCTCTCCCTTTTTTGAAAATATAAACTTTTTAAAACCACTTTATAAATATTGACATTTATGTAAACATGGGTAGATTATGCTTTGCAATGCTAATTAAATTAATTTTTATATTTAATACGACTTGTAAGAGTCTTCAGGTAGCCTACTCTTGTACCTAAAAGAAAAAAAAAAACTGCATTTCTTGAAAACTATCTGATTCAAGCTTCCCTTGTTTTTTGCATTAAAAATTTTAAAAAGTTTCTTTTAATTAGTACGTTTTAAAAAAAAAGATGCAAAAATAAACATATGTTCATTGGTATATTTTGGAATATATAGTTGCTATAGTTTTGGTCTGAAATTTCCCCCAAAGGTGCATGTGTTAAAACCTGGCCAGCCTGTGTGCCATTGGGAAGTGGTGGCACCTTTAAGAGGTGGGCTCAGTGGAAGACAGGTCATGGGGGTGTGCCACTGAAGGGGATATTAGAACCCTGCCTCCTGTGTCTTTCTCTTTGCTTTCCAGCCATCACGAGGTGAACAGATCTTCTCTGCAGTGTGCCCCCAACATGATATACTATGCTGCCATAGCCTAAAAGTAACAAGGCCAAACATCCATGGGCTGAAACCTCTGAAATTGTGAGTCAATAAACCTTTCCTCTTTTTAAGTTGATTATCTCAGGTACTTTTTCACAGTGATAAAAGGTTGAGTAATGCAATAGAAAAGATAAATGCCTATAAGCCTATTGAGAAACATTTTTTAATACCAGGATATATTGTCTTTAGGTTTTTTTATGTGCATATTTTATATATGTGTGTGTTTGTGGGTGTGTGTGTATATATATACATAAATATATACATATATGTGAATATATATATATAATTGATAAATTTTACATGCTATATATCTGGAATCATTGTTTATGCCATTTTTAATCACAAATATGTATGATTAAAGATTTCTTGAACACATCATTTTTATTGACTGCATTATATTCCATGTTATAAAATTTTCTATACTTCATCTACTTTTAAAACGTTGAATATTTAATATATTTCAGACTTCCGTTTTTATTTCAGACTTCTGTTTTTATTTCAGAAAATAAAAACAGTGTGAAAAGCTTTATAGGTAAATCTTGGTCAGCATCTCAGATGATTTCAGTATTAAAGATTCCTAGAAATGGGTTTACTGATTGAAAACTATCAATATTTTAAAGCTACTCCTACATATTCAAAAACCTTCACAGAAACCTTGTATCATTTTACCTTTTAGCTGGCAGCATATGGAATTGTCAGTTTCACCATATCACCTCAATAATGAATTTTATTACTGTTATTTGAAAAATCACTGTTAATATGATAAAAAATGATAGTATGTTTTTTTTGTTGTTGTTGTTTTGTGTGTGTATTTTTGTGTATGTGGTGCTGGGCATGAACCCAGGGATCAATATATGCTAGATAAGTGCTCTACTACTACTAAGCTATCTCCCCAGCTTGGTATCTTGTTTTAATTTGCCTTTTTTAGTTACTCAGGAAGTTGAATACCTCAAAATGTCAATTTATAGTTACAATTAAAGGACACCAATCGTGCTAAGGCTTATGGAAAGGTTGAGACAGGAAGTCAGTACTTGACGTACTGGTGGGATACCTCTTTTAAGTTATTCTTTCTCTTTCTATAGTTTGTGTGCACATCCATCAAGCAGAAGTGAGAATTGCCTTTCTTATTTATTCTCTATAACAGTAGGAAAGACGGAGTTCTATTATGTAGAGTACATAATACGATTGGTTTATTGAACATATCTGCATTTGAAATCTAAATCTAACACTTGAAATATTTGTAATACTCTAGCCTCAGTTTTCTCATACTCAAAATGGGAACCCTAATAGAGCCTATCTGGAAGGGTGAAAAATTAAGCAAAGTAATACATATAGTTTTTAGCAGAGGACTTTGCATATATTAACATGAATATAAGCTATTAATAATACGGTGTGGAAATACCTTAAAATATAAAATACTTCATAAGATTTTGTTAATTTGTCATTCAGACAATATATCAATTACCTAATTTTCTCAGAAGCTTTGTTTTTACCCCTTGACTTTTGGCATTATTGCATATAGGAGATATTTACAATGTTTTTAATAATAAAATTTGTTTAAAATATCATCATGAATATTGTAGGGGAGGAAAAGATTTTCCTCAACCCTTTTGGGGTTCCTAGTTGGGTCTGAAAGATAAACTGACAGATTAGTAGGATAAAAACTAGAAATTTATTCAACATAAGCTATAGGACATGGGAGTTTTATGAAAAAAAAGTCTTACTTTTTTGGGCCCATTTGTCTCTGAGCCAATTTGAGTAGACTCTTTGAAGAGATTCTGTATTAACTTGATAATTATCCAAAGGTAGAAAAATATCACACATACTTAACACACATACAAACACACGTACACACTGATGCAAAAAATATCTATGGCTTTCTTTTAAAAATTTTAGCTCTGTTTTAGGTATAATAATACAAAACTTGTAAGTTTTATAAGAGAGTAGCTAGATCCAAATTTTATTTCTAGAAGATGGATCCAGTTAAGGCTGGATCTGTTCATCTGACTAAAGTTTTTACTAATATTTGTAGGAAAAAAACTTTTAATATTGTTTGCTTCTTATCCCCCTCCCCATCAAGTACAAAACAAGACAGAGCAGAAGATTTCCATGTCCAAAGCCTAGGACAATCACTATTTAAACATTTCTCCCTTTTTCTTAAGTGTAGGCAATTCTACTCCCAATGTTCTGGTCTTTTACAAGCATCTTGAGATGAGTAGGTAAGTTTTGGGATTAGAATGTGTAGATAGGCTTTGAATTGCTTCTAGAGCCCCATTTCTATTTTTGTTTATTTGTTAGACAAGGATAGTTATGCTTAATTCTTCCAAGTATTAGGGTACTTGGAATGATATCAAGGGGATGACCTACCCATCCATTGCACGATCTTTCATTTGTTCCTTTATATAAGGGAACTGACTTCTAACTAGGATGGAAATCAAATGATTACCATGTGGTAGATTTAAAGCTTTGCATGTTTAATAAATCCTTCCACAATAACTTCGGAACATTTTATTTCTCTATGAGTATATCATTCCATCTTAGCTTAAGAGAAAAGATCTTTAAAGAAAAAAAAAGTCCTTATGCTCTGAATGTCAGCCTCAAACAGTAAATCTTCCTGCATTTCTGGCAGTGTTAAACTTATCTTTCTTGCTCTCTCTGGCTCTCTCTCTCTCTTTTAAGCCAAAGGTACCTATCCACATCCAAACAACTAGCCTTTTATGATCTAACCATGGATGAAAGGGGTAAAAGAGGGTTAAAAAGATACAGTCCTCTCAAAATCTGGAACCATACCCAAATATAGCCAAGAGAAAGGAAGACATAGATTACCCACCCCTAGAGAGTTGGCAACAGTTGGTCCATTAGCTGCACTTTGATGCCACCCACATTTCTATCTGAACATATTTTTGGGGACCTCTAACTTTTCTGTTGGACACATGCATATGTAAGCTTGATGCCCCAAGAAGTGACAAATCAAACCAAGCTCTCAGGACACAAATAAAGACAGCAGGCAAGCAATGGCTGTCCCTGGGAGGGAAGGATCAGTAATAGCTAGTGGGTGCACCAACTTAACTGAATTTTAAATCAGACTCACAATCCAAATCAACAAAAATATTTTGGATGATTTTTGGTAATATAATTCTTTAAAATTTATTTTCTAACTGAAACATGAAAATTACACATACTTTATGGGATACCATGTGATTTTTTGATGCACATATACCTTGTATAATGTTTTAAAAGGGTAAACATATCTGTCTCTCAAGGACTTATGACTTCTTTGTGGTGAAAACTTTCAAAATCCTTTCTTCTAGCTTTTTGAAATATATAGTACCTTACCGGTCATCAAAATCATGTGCAATATTAAGTAGGCACAAAAAAAACTACCCAGACAAATTTGAATTTCAAGAAATTATTTACAGAAATCAATAACACTGAACAATAATAGGAGAAATTTGCATTTTATTTATGGGTTGGGCAGTGGTTCTTTCAGAGAAAAAGTTGAAACAATGACTGCTTGATCTTTGGTCCTGAACGTCTAAAGGCAGGAACACAAATGATTGCTATTAACATAGCCTTGGGGAAGAAGGAAGAAAGAATCTAATGTTCAGTCTCCAATATTGCTCTGTCTGCGCCAATATTCTGGAAAGAAAAAAAAAATGAAGGGGTGGTAAAAATTTGCATTCCCCCACCCTACAGAATGCCTTTCCTGTTATTTTCATTTGGCCCCAAGGTTTTGGAGAGATCAATACAGATACTTTCCAGGGAAGGAAATAAGACAGGAACATGTGCCCTGGTGGAGCTGCTTAGAATATTGAATAGTTTTTGACATAGCTTGATGCAGAGGCAAGGTAATACTCTCCAAGGAGAGAATTGCTACTGTAGTTTGCAGCTCATGGGGGAAGCGAAACTAAATGAAAGCTGGAAGGAGAATGAGTGGAGTTTTTTTTTTTTTTTTTTACTCCTCCCCACCTCTAAAGTTCACAAATAGGATGGTGAGTTGAGAATACAGAAGCTCAAAAAGAACACTTTACTCTGATGAAAACAGTTTTCCACCCCATCATCACTACAGCAGAGGGCAGTGAAAGTGCCTCTGCCTCTATTTTAAATCAAAATCCATTCTTTGGGGGTAATACTTGCTTTCTTTCCTGCTTCATTTGATGGTTGCACTGCTGACATGGATTCGAGATGGTTACTAAAATATTCACTGCAAAGAGCTGGTGTGAAACCGTCTCATATACAGCTACTCTTTTACTCATCTGGATTAACCTTTCTCTGGCAATCACAGCATTGTAAACACCCCTCAGCATTAAATAAAAAACAGCAGTGTGCAGGTTTAAACGATTGCTTCAGCTTTTTTTCTAGCCCAATGCGTGACTTGTTTTATTTAGCAGTTTCTGCATTCCCCTACTGTTTAACAATCATGCACAGCTGAGAGCTTTGCCTTTACTTTCTCTACCTTGTTTAATGAGGTACAAGATAAAATACTCATGCCTCCCATTTTTTTTTCCCCCTGCTGAAAGGTCAAGACTTGAATCAGAATCAAATTTGGAAGGTCAGTGTTCAAAGGTTACTCTTTTAGCCCACATAGTGCTAAGAAAACACAGACGATCACATAGAGAGGGGCAAAAATTAAGTCAAGATTGGTTTAAGAAACTTGTATTTATTAATGCAACATTGTGGCTGAGAATTTAAACTCATAAAAGTCAGGAAAGTCAAAATTATGATCCTCCCAGCTATCGTTATTCGTTCCTTGCACACATGATAGTATTTTATGTACTATATTTGCTGTTATATTTATGCCCTTATATAGAATATGCCAAGTTATAGTTACTAGGGGAAGCATAACTTTTCATTTCTAACTTTCCTGAATTCTAATTCTTCAGCACAATTAGCATTAGCCTTCTTTCACTTTCCCCTTCTTTGATTTCTTAAAGAAAACTAAGTGACCATGTAGCTTCCTATTTTAGCTGTGCATTGATCTTTGGGACTTATTGTGTATTTGTGGGTCAGGCTGCAAGGAACATAGCAAATTTCTTTTGTGT